GGAGAGAGAGAGAGAGAGGGGGGGGGTAACAAATAGTTTGACACAAAACAAACAGTACACGGACCTTACAATACCCACTCTGGCAATCGTACCTTAATCTTATTGTAGTCAAACTTGAGAGAGTGGTTGCAGTACTCGGGATAATGGCTGCCAGGTCCAGAAGGCCTTTAAAAGAAACAACAAAAACAACCAAACAAATAAATAGGCAAAACAAAAGCTTTCCTCCCCTGACTAGATCTAGTCTTTGTTCGTTATTAGTTGCTTTTTGTTGTTGTTTATTTATTCATTTCTATTGTTCGTTTGTTTTTAGTTCGTTCGTTCGTTTTGCTTGTTTGGCTTGTTTGATTTTATATTGTATTTGTAAGCTTGTTGAAGAACATGCATAAAGGTTGATAAAGAAGGCTTCATGTCAAAAATGGATTATTAACAGACGAAGAATAAGCTTTCAAGAAAAGAGAGGTAAAATCCCGAACTTACGTCTGATTATCTGATTTGAATCTGGGAACACCCCATTCCTCATGTTCCGAGTCTCAGCGATTCCTCATCAAAATAAGTTTCCTGCAATGCAGTCGTTAGATTGCATACACAGTGAAAAAAATGGTGAAATGTTACAGGTTGAACGCCCCTATCAACACTATTAGATTATTTAAGAGATTCTCCGAAAGGACCGAGTCAATTAGAAAATTGGTGTAAAGTGCCTTTCCCAAGGACACAAACTGGGGCTCGAACCCCCGAGGCCCCCCACTAGGGCAGTGCTACTGACTGAAATTGTCTTTAGGCCATTCCCAAAGATATTCTTATGCACAGTAGAATATTGTAAATGGGCTGGTTTTTCAATGTAATGCTCATACTGTGCGGAACAACATAGGGGAAACTGCAGCTGCTTTTTCTTTCCTCATCCTTACTAGATCTATCTTCTTTTTTCCTCTACTTCTTTTGTATGTTTGTCACTCTCTTGTGAACTGCTATTTCCGGGGTGCCTTGAGAGTCGAAGTAGACTTTGTTCTGTTGAGGCTAGACAGGTGAGTAGAGTAAGCCTGATTCCCCGTTTGGACTGCTCTGTTGACATCCACCCCTTGGCACTCATATGACCTTATGCAGTTGCGAGCGCCGTAAAACCATACTAAAACTTACAAACTCCCGAACCTGGCACACACGGTGTACCAGAGAAAAACGCACCTTGCATACCTATATAATAGATGGGTACTCAGGAGGTCACAATTCAATCGCATAAAGAATGGTAAGGTCAGAGCAAAACAATGGTAATAATCGTGTGATTAAAAGCTATCATGACGCACAGCCTGGTGAAATGTCAGATTATCTGTTGATATTAACGACTGATAGGCTCAACCGTTGAGAGCTACAACAAGATTGCGACAAATAAAAGAGAAGAGAGAAGAGGAGGAGATAGAATAAAGGAGTGGTTTAATGTTGTTTTTTTTTTAGGG